AAACGTCAATAGGTAGATAGTGTAGAAGTTTGAAACGGGGTTTGATAATGGCAACATTTTGTGACAGAATCTGTGGTTGATGTGATTACGTTCCTCGAACGTTGAAACATGGGTGAGTGAAGAGTTTAAGAATGTTATCCCAGAAAGAGGTTTTCTGTTTGAATTTTCCTTACTTGTGATGAAGGCATTGTTAATTCGAGCACATAATAGCAAAATGTAGGTATTTTCCTTACAACGCAATGTGACAATTGATTCAAGCCATAATTACACCTAGAGGTTACATAATTATACTTTATAGTTTTTACAAGTTAACTTGCTATAGTAGGATAAATAAACTCATATTTGTTAGTATTATTTAAATTTGTCCAAATCAAATGTAAAAATGAAAGTGAAAGAAAGAGTATAATATTGAACTTTTTATTCATAAAATTAACCTTAATAATATGAAATTAAAACCCCCTAACATATTAACTTGTAGTATCGAGTTTCTTTTAGTTAAAGGGTAGAAGTAAACTTTTAGTAGTAAAATTCGTTTAGTCTAAAGACAATGCAAACAGAATTCAGTTTTATTTCATACATCACATACATACCAAATCTTATTTCATTTTTTAGGACTCTTCATTCATCATTTAACGAATCTTCCACTGCCCAAGAAGAAACCACGAACTTCTGAATTCTATCAGTGAAAAAGTTGTGTACTAAACACGAAATTCCAATAATTGGCATGCCAACTTTTTCCTCCTTTCTTACACACGAATTCTCTCCTACAAGAAACAATCACTTACAAATATAGGACTACCAAAATTAATCTTTCAAAATTAACATTCATTATACACATTACTTTCCTCAACACACTTTTTCTACATTCAAACTCATACTAAAACCGAATTTCTTGATACATATTAAATAACACTATTTACTACATTCAAACTCATACTAAAACTAAAATTGTTTACATATTAAATAACATTATTTATTAAGATGATAATTCAATAATTGAAATGATATATCCAATAAACATAAATTTAATTAAAATGGATTTTAATCTATAACTCTTAAGAAACAGACTTTTAATTTATAACTTAACCTCATTCATAAGCTAAAATTTATATTTACACATATACTCTAAATTTGATGGTATTTTTAATTTACAAGTTATATGTGAGATTTATTTCCAATTATTAGTTTTTGTTTTTTTTGAAAGTGACCTCAGACGGTAGAATTGTCCACATCTTTAGCAGAAGTTCCGTGTGAACACTGAGAGTGGTTGTCATAAATATTTTGTATGTTTATTTACCTTTGAGTCCAGTCCATGGAGTACAAAAACACCATCCATGTTAGAGTGTGAGCACATAACAGATTGAAGAAGTGAGAGAATAAAGAGATGAAGAAGGTGTTTGTTTTTGCAGTTGTGGTGGTGGCAGTGGTGGCAATGGAGGTGGCTCCGACGGCAGAGGGTGTGACATGTAGCCCTGTGGAGCTGAGTCCTTGTTTGGCGGCAATAACTTCGTCATCTCCACCATCAACTCTTTGCTGCCAGAAAGTCAGGGAACAGAGGCCATGCCTCTGTGGTTACCTCCAAAACCCTAGTTTCAAGAATTACGTAAACTCTCCTGGTTCCAGAAGGGTTGCTAGTTCATGTGGGGTTCCCTTTCCAACTTGTTAATCTAAATAAAATCATGTTAAGTATTACTACCAACATTTACATCTCTGCTACGATATTTCGGTAGTTTTTTCAGTGATTCAATTCATGCATGTAATAAACCGTCTGTTTCATTCTATGGTGTTGCAGCGTGCCGGTTAGCTTTAAGAAATTAATATGATTGTGTTGTATGTGTGAATGAAGTATTGAAGAAGATAATGGAATAAGTTTGGTTCTTGATTCTGTAATTTCATGTTGTTCTTGACGGGGCCACTTTGGAAAGGCCTATGAACAGTTTAGAACTTTGGCGTCAACTGGTCAAGATGAATTAAGTATCATTTAAATTGGCACGCTTTTCAATTTTCAATTACAGATGGCAGTTATAAGAATATATAAATGTCGTTAAACATTTTGTTTAAAGATATATGGAAATATGAGAGTTTTTATATAAAATTCAAATGAAAGGAATGATGGTATAGTAATAATGTGTTGTATTTTCGGAGAATACTTCAGTCTTTTTCTTTAATATGGAGGTGTGGTTAGTGATAATGGAGGTGCAGAACGAAAAAGCCCATAAAAGATCCCATGCCTCAGAGATCATGGTTAATGTTTTCACACATTGGTATATTTGTTTCAGCTCATATTAAATTGTTAACTTTTCTGTTTATTAGTAATGTTAATTCTTGTTATGCTTTAGTTCAATTAATTTTATAATTTTTTTTTGAAAAATAAGTATACAAACAATCTTCTAAATAATATTTTGCTTAATATTCGGCATCAATATCGTAAAGTTGTGTAATAACCTATATATTTATTAAAGAGTTGTTTAAGTAGTGTATGTATTATTACTACTACACACGTCATAGTGTCTACTAATCATAATTTCAATTTTAACTACGTACTTTCCCGGTTAAAAATTGTAATAACTAATTGGTAGGTTGAGTTTTCTTTATTAATATTAAAATAATAGTCATTTTAAAACTATTAAACTTCAGGAAATACTTTAAATAATCTTATTTATTTACATTCACGTATTTGTTTCAATCAAATGTAAACTAAATATTTATATAAATAAAAACATGATTTATATAAATATTTGTAAATACTAAAATTAAATTTTTAAGTAAAATATAAATAATGTGAAAATCTAACTTTACATACATTTGTAAAATTAGTTTCATACAATTCATTTAAAACTTTACTTGTATATATTTTAGAGAAAAACGTCTAATTTCTGCAACAAGTTTGATCAATTTTCTTCCAATTAATTTATTTTGCACTGATTAACTTTTGTTTGCACCGATTAAATTTCGTTTGGGCCGATTAATTTTGACTTATGGTACAATTTTGTTCGTGAGTTGATGAATCTTGGCGGCAGCAGCGAGTGCCAATCTTCATTGCTTGAAACTCATAGTATATACAATTTTATTATGTGCTATAATGATTTTCTGTATTTCAGGGATGATAATATTATAGAAAAAAAAATAATTTTTTAAATAAAAAATAAAAGAGACGTCGGTTTAGGAGGGTCTGACGTCAAAATTAACATTAAAAAAAAACATTTGACGTCTAATTGACGTCTCAGTAAGACGTCGAATCTAAATTAGACGTTTGAATATCGAAAATAACAAACGTCAAAAGTCTTTTTTGCAACCGTGAATATTTAGATAGATATGATTCTTAGAATTGGATATTTAAGTTTGTCGAAAATAAGAAACGTCAAAAGTCTTTTTTTCAACCATGAATATTTAGATAGATATGATTCTTAGAATTAGATATTTAAGTTTGTGTGTTTAAATCTACACTGACGATAAACCTGTTAAAAGAAATTATGTCCTTATAATTTGCATTTTAAATGAGTTCAATTAATTTTTAACAGTGTATCTGTCTCTATAAATCTAGCTAGTTATACAAACTTATTCATATTTACAAAAATATAATTAAAAATAATTTTAATATACTTCAAACATAATACAAGTGCTTTTAAAAATAATAAAAATCTTAATTTCAAAGTTCATTAATGATAAATTACAGAAAATATAAAACAGTTTCAAAACAATACATAAAAGATATTAACAAATAAAGAAAAATAAAGAAGAATAAAACACTTTAATTGATGTGGCTTCAATAATTAAAAGAGTAACAATATGTTGATATGTTGACATGTTTTAACATTCATTGGATACGGTGACATGTTTGCTTATATTAAAATAATAAATCTACGGTTGATAATAAATAATTGTAAATTAGTAAGTTCAACTTTTAATCAATAAAGTTGATGTTGTAGGATTTGCTAATTTTTTTCTCATTCATCATCATCCGTTGTTTTAATAAAAGTTGATAAATGCATTATCTTTCAAATTAAAAACAAAAACAAAAAACCTTATATAAAATATAAAGGTGACAAATAAAAGGTAAAAATTGGATGACAATTAAAGTGAAAGAAATAGTATAACTATTGAACTTTTTATTCATAATATGGAATTAAAAAAAACCCTATTATATATATTAAGTTGTAGTATTGAGTTTCTTTTACGTTAAATCCGGGTAAAAGTAAACTTTTAGTAGTAAAATTCGTTTATTCTAAAGATAATGCAAACATAATTTAAGTTTTAAAATTTGGAGTTTAGATAGTTATAAATATAAACTTTATTTCATACATCCCAAATCTTTTTTCGTTTTTGAGGATTTTGCATTCATCATTTCACGAATCGTCAAAAACCACAAACTTATGAATTGTATTAATAAGAGGAGTGAAAAAGTTGTGTACTAAACACGAAATTCCAACTTTTTCCTCCTTTCTTCCACACGGATTCTCTCGTACAAGAAACAATGACTTACAAACCAAAATTAATCTTTCAAATTTAACATTCATTAGAAACATTACTTACTCAACACACTTTTTCTACATTTATACTCGTACTAAAAAATTGAATTTCTTGATACGTATTATATAACATTATTTACTACATTCAAACTCTTACTAAAACTAAAATTCTTAACACATATTAAACAATGTTATTTATTAAGATGACAGTTTAATAATAAATTAAATGATATATTCAACCAACACAAATATATCATTAAAATTTTAATCATATTTTAAGAAATAAATTTTTAAATTTTATTTTATTTTAAAAAATTGAATTATTAAATAAAGTTTATATATATATATATATATATATATTAGTTTACACGTGCGACTTCCAATTATTGGATATTTTGAAAGTGGTCTCAGCATGTCGAATTGTCCACATCTTTAGCAGAGTTGCGTGTGAAGACTGAGAGTGGTTGCCATAAATATTTTGTATGTTTATTTACCTTTGAGTCCAGTCCATGGAGTACAAAAACAGCATCCATGTTAGAGTGTGAGCACATAACAGATTGAAGAAGTGAGAGAAAGAGATGAAGAAGGTGTTTGTTTTTGCAGTTGTGGTGGTGGCAGTGGTGGCGATGGAGGTGGCTCCGACGGCAGAGGGTGTGACGTGTAGCCCTGTGGAGCTGAGTCCTTGTTTGGGGGCAATAACTTCGTCATCTCCACCATCAACTGTTTGCTGCCAGAAAGTCAGGGAACAGAGGCCATGCCTCTGTGGTTACCTCCAAAACCCTAGTCTCAAGAATTACGTAAACTCTCCTGGTTCCAGAAGGGTTGCTACTTCATGTGGGATTCCCTTCCCAACTTGTTAATCTAAATAAAATCATGTTAAGTATTACTACCAACTTTTACATCTCTGCGATGATATCTCGGTAGTTTTTTCAGTGATCCAATTCATGTATGTAATAAACAATCTGTTTCATGGTGTTGCAGCGTGCTGGTTAGCTTTAAGAAATTAATACGATTGTGTTATATGTGTGAATGAGATGTTGAAGAAGACAATGGAATAAATTTGGTTCTTGATTCTATCGTTTTATCTTCTTCTTTAGAAACAACTATTTCTTTCTCTTGTCAAACAATGAGTGTTTTTTACGGGGCCACTTTGAAAAGGTCTATGAACAGTTCATGACGTTGGCGTCAACTGGTCAAAGTTTTCCATTTTCAATTACAGATGACAGGAATATATAAACGTCGTTAAACACTTTTAGGAATATATATATTTTTTAAAAATAGTTAAATATATTTTTAGTATCTACATTATTTTTGGTTTCGTTTATCAAAGAATATATAAATCTCGTTAAAATGTAAACTAATGTTTTTTCAAATTTAATGTTGGTTAAAGTTTTTATTGTCACACATCATTTGTGAATTTTATTTTATATCAAACACATTTTGTTATCATGTAAATTTAATAATGTTGATTAAAATGTTTTCCTCACCAATATTGATAAGAGTTTCTTTTATCTAACATTAACATTGATGTTTTTTTTTAACAATTACAAATATCTATCAACATCTTTCAATCAATGTTGTTGAAACTCTTTAAATGGAACTAAATTATATTTTTCGCTTAAAATTTCAAATTCCTTTTTTTTATTTGTCTAGTTCTTTTTTAAAAAAACAAATTGTAATTAAAGTTCAATAAACTAAATTAACTTATCCACAAAAAACATTTTAAAAAATGAAATAATTGAAAATGTAAACCATTGAATCTCATAAAGATTTTTAAATTTTTATATCCTAATAAAAAGTAAAACTTATAAAAGTTGCATAAGGAAATCATGTTTCATTCTTTAAAGTAAACTTAGTTGATATGTCGGTTTGATATGCCAAAATGATAATTATTATCAATGGTCAATAGTTTACAAACAAAAGATTAAAGAAATTTTATCAAGGCCTAAGCTTAAAACATTTTATTAGTTCAATGAAACACTTTTAGACAAATAATCAAGTAGAGGCAATCAACAAGGTGATGACTACAAAAATAAAATAAAGGTTGGGAAATAATAAAGGGAATTGGGTCAAAAAACTTTTAGAAATCATATAGGCATATCGATGCATACCACACAACACTACAGGAGAATCACCCTTCAACTTGACATACGCTTAAAGGTAAGACATTTATTACTTTTGAATCTACAGTATTTATTGAATTATGCATATACTAAACATTGACTTTAGTGTTGGAATACCTTAGACAAATAACCGATTGATCGAAAAAAATAAACGATGAAGGAAATAATCTTGAAGAAGAAGATTAAACATTGACAAGAGAAATTGACCACACATATGAAGTTTTAGTGTATCTTTTGTCCTACATACAAGAAAAACTTCCAAATTAGTTTGAAGTCATTCTTATATATATTTTTACATTCAATTATATATATATAGTTGTGATAATCAATATATTGTTAAAGAATATAGCTTATGTAGGTGCAAACAAAGTATAAAAACTACATAAATCTTTTTATTTTTTTAAGCAACAAGAAAATTGTTACAATCAATTTTTTTTAACGTTGCACGTCTTGTCATGCAAACTATGGTGGTGGTTGTGAACATTGGACTTTTCTTCTTCGCATGATATTTTTCTTTTTTAACTCATCTATATCCTCCTATCCCTATAAATAGGTGTTCTTTCTCACATAAAAGAAGACAATACATATATCTCTTCTTTCAGTTTCCCTTTTATTTTCTCTTCTCTTTATCTTCTATCCTTAGTTTATATTTACTCTTTTAAAAAAAAATCTTGCTAGTTTTGAATTTTTCAATATAGAGACACTCCTATTGTATCTTAGAAGATTTACATAGATAAATCTTTGAAGACAATAATCATGCACGTGTCAATAAATTTATTTAAGTTGTGTTCTTATCAAAATTTTCAAATATATATATATATATATATATATATATATATATATATATTGTTTAATTTATATCTTTTTAAAATCTATATTAATAAAGCAAACATTTGTGAAAGATTCGACTCAAGTTATAATCCAACAAAAATAATTAAAAGTTAATGGCTCGTAACATTGAAACGAATCGGTAGTAAAACTTGTAAGATTAACGTTGTGTATGCTGAAATTAAAGTTGGAAAAGTTCAAAAGTTTTTTTTTTTTTGGAAAGTAAAAAAAGAAGTCGTTCTTGATTTATTATGTTGGAATTCCTTAATGTAGTTTGAAATCTGTAAAAGTAGTGTTGAAACGTCAATAGGTAGATTGTGTAGAAGTTTAAAATGGGGTTTGATAATGGCAACATTTTGTGACAGAATCTATGGTTGACGTGATTACGTTCCTCGAACGTTGAAACATGGGTGCGTGAAGAGTTTAAGAATGTTATCCCAGAAAGAGGTTTTCAGTTTGAATTTTCCTTACTTGTGATGAAGCCATTGTTAATTCGACCACATCATAGCAAAATATAGATACTTTATAGTTTATAGTTACAATTGATTCAAGCCATAATTACACCAAGAGGTTACATAATTATACTTTATAGTTTTTATAGTTAGTTAACTTACTATAGTAGGATAAATAAACTCATATTTGTTAGTATTATTTAAATTTGTCCAAATGAAATGTAAAAATTAAAGTGAAAGAAAGAGTATAAATCTCGCTAGTTATATAAACTTATTCATATTCACAAAAATATAATTAATTTTTTTTTAATATGCTTCAAACATAACTTAAGTGCTTTTAAAATAAAATAAATTTAAACAAAAATTTTAATTTCAAAGTTCATTAGACAATAAATTACATAAAATATAAAATAGTTTCAAAACAATACATATAAAATATTAACAAATAAAAATAAAATAAAGAAGAGTAATAAAACTTTAGTTAGTGTGACTTCAAGGATGAAGAGAAGAAAACTTGTTTGTGCCATAATTAAAAAAATAACGATATATTGACATGTTGATGAGTCTAACTAAACATTCATTTGATATAGTGGCATATCTGTTTTTATTAAAATAATATAATCTATGGTGGATCATAAATGATAGTAAGTTGATAAGTTCAACTTTTATTCAATGAAGTTAATGCTGATGGACTTATTAATTTTCTGTGTATTCATGATTCACCCATTGTTTTATTAAAAGCTAACAAGTCATTATGACTATACTGATTCGGACCGGGCATCAAAGAGACTGGACGTCCGCATAATCGTAATGGTCTAACCACGCTATCCTTCCGCTCAACATCGGGAGGGATCGGACGTGATAGACTGGACGTCCGTATCACCATGATTTTGCAACTTTGTCGTTCGTCATCCGGATAAACAGCAACTCATATGAGGTTGGCCGGTTATGCCGCCAATTTATGGACCGGCGGATCTATTTTTAAAAAATAAATTTTTAAATTTAATTTAATTTCATAAAATTATATATATATATATATATATATATATATATATATATATATATATTTTAAATTCATCTTATTTTTAATTTGTATGTCAGACTTTCATTTACTAAATATTTTGAAAGTTACTCCACCACATCTTTAGCAGAGGTTCTGTGCGAAGACTGAGACTGTTGTCATAAATATTTAGTATGGTTATTTACCTTTCAGTCCTCTCAA